CTCTATTATTTAGATTGTCGTTTAATCGCGTGGTTTTGTTTCTGTTGCTTCATATCTTGATGTCGAGAGAGCTTACTTAGTCATTTTCGGAGGTTAATTCTGACATCACTATTCATGAAATGAAAGTTTTATGTTATGTTGTTTTTCTCCAAAGAAAAAATGTATTGCCTTTTTTGCAAGATTGTTTTGTTTGCAATATTGTGAAAAATTTCGAATATTCGAATATATAACAGGATTTCAAACATTCCAATATTTCAGCACACACACATTCTACGGATGTCGCAAGATTCGTTCTAAAAGATTTGTGCAGGGACCAGCGGATGAATATTCCGAAAGTAATAATATTTCTTCCGATAAATCGTTGTGAAAATCGAGATATAACTCGTAAAGGCCCTTCGCAATATTAGCGAATAGCCTCATTAATATGTAGCGAAAAAATTGTAATTCTTCTTTATGAACATTTCCTTCATATGATATGCTGACTCTAAAATGCTGGTGGTGTGAGCTAAACGCTCCATGTCTCAAGCCATATAAATGAATTCGGACTCTCAAGAAATGTATAAGTTACTGATACCAGCACATACTGAAAAAAAAAATCGAAAAACGAAAAACTCCAGATAAATTTCACGTTCAACTTGATTACCCCGCTAAATATAATTTTGTTTTTAAATGTGATATAGAATCTGTATTGATGTAAATGTGATATAGAGTATATGCCAGGTCTGATGTGAATTTCGATTCCCCCACATTAACAGAATCTACTCTTGAAAATTGAATGAACCTGGCCGTGGGTGTGGCGCGTCCTAGCACATGAGCCAGGTTAACGCCCGAATCCCTCTGTTCCAGGTTCGCCAAAACTACATCCGTCGCCGGCTGCTCACCACCTACAAAGCTTTGGAGCGCCTATCGCAGAGCGAGTTTAACCTGGACCGCCTGGAAGTGACCCCGGCGACGGCGGCAGCCACGGCGGCGGCGACCGCGTCTGCGGCGGGGGACGCGCCGGCGGCGGCAGCGGCGGCGGCTGCCGCTGCGGCGGCTGCGGC